TGTGCTAGCAGCTTGAGAACGATTGTCACTGGGTTAATTAATTACGCAATTAACCCTTCAATCTCCAAACTGCCACCAGATATCTTTGGGCCTATCACCCCTTCACAATGTTGGCAAGAACAAATGTGAACAATAAACGTCTGTAACACACACTGTCAAGAGGATTATTACATACAGCAGCACTCTTCAAGAGACAGGGATTCTTTACTTTGCATTAAAAGCTTTAGAGACAATTTGAACACTTTTCAAAATAGGGTTTATTACTAAAAAGGTCAAAATGGTGCAATGCAAATATTTACAGAAAAAGATGTTACAAAGAAAATAAAGAGAACAATAATGCAACAGAGAAATAAAAGAAAGGAGTTAAGAAGGCAGAATACTTGCAAAGTCCTTGGTTTTAGCAGAGTCCACTTGTCCGAGCAAAAATGTTGCCTTGGCTTTCAAGTCCATTAAGATGTTTCTTGGTGGATGTTAAAGGAGAGCTCTTTTACTAGATTCGGTCAGTCCCTTTTCTATGATGTCAAAGGGGTGTCTCCTGAGAACAACTGACGAATAATCTGATTTAGGGGATGGGTGCTAGGAGGTCACCAAATTTATGACCAAGTCCCAACTACAATTTCATACCAAAATTAGCCACTTCCAATATGTGCAGGTGGTATTCTAGCAACTAGCAGATTATTATTCAGAATTATATTTCAAATGCAGGGATACTAAACACAGCGCACCTTTGTTATCCAGGAGAGAAGAGACTGCTTTCTCCCATTTCCTATGTGCTAACATAGTCATGTATGACCTTGATTTGTTCGGTATGATATTCTCTATTCAAAGATATACCTAATATTAATGTGCCCTGTTCATGTTGAATTCTGTGAATTGTATGTGGAATTGTTACATGTGGAATAGATGTTTTATGGCATGCTCTGCATTCCTAGAGCTCTAATGGCCTTACAGGTCATGTGTGACTGCTTGACTGAGTTATTATTGTTTTACGATAGGACAGAGGGAAGTGTTTTCCATGGTTCGTGGAAACAGACATCCCACCAAGACTAGTTAGCAGTTTACAGGCCTGAACAGGTCTGCACGCTGGGTCTAATTGTGTTGTAATTAAGATAAGAGGTTATTTTGAAGTTTGTTAAAACTTACAGCTACACATTCCAGTTTTCAGGGGGAGGGAGGGGAGGAAGATTATTGCTCATGAAAAACAAAAAAGGCTGTCGCGTACAGGTTTCGTGTCCCTATTGCGAACAACTGTTACTGGTAGGGCCCTGGTTTTCTATTGTTTTAAAATGTTGAACACTATTTTCTTAGACCAGCAGCTCTGTAACAAGACAGCAACATGGCAAGACTGTGAGATACCAGAGTTTTACATGTCTGGAGCAGAAAAAAAGCAAAACATCCCTAAACTTTTACATTTAGATTTGTGAATCAGAGGTTTTTAAAGTATTAAAATGTTCCTTCTTTAACAAATCAAGTGATTTGGTATATGTACTGTACTTATGCAATAAGCCATTTTTTAGCCTGAAATAAGTATTATTGCACTAGCCCCTTGAAGTATATATAAACCCTCACATTGTAAAACAGCCCCTTCAGTTTAAAATAGAAATGAAAGCCCAAACATTTGTGTATAGATATAAAAAAAACATTTTGAATACAATTTTCCTTTTTTTAAAAGCGATCACATTCCCTCTGTTCTCAGCTGCATAAGATGCTCAGAGAGCTGGGGAAGAAGAAACAGCAGGAACACCAAGGATTTCACACAAAGGAAGCAATACAAAGAAGACGAATACAGGAACAGGATACATTTGCATACAAGTACACGGTACAGCAGGCACATATCCGGTATACAAAATCTTCAGTTTACATATTCTTTAAAATGTATCCAGCAAAAGACATCAATAATACAACTTCCAGAAATACTATTATAATTTCAGCTTAAAGTGCTACTGATCAGAACAAAAACAAGATTTGTATTTGAGAATTTTGCAAACTGTAGGGCCACAGAATTTAAAGGGAGAAGTGCATTATTAAAAAAAAAAAAAAAAACCTTACATACTCACCTATATAGCTGCAACATTGGCTACAGCTGTCCCCTGCTGGCTCTAAGTCCGAGAACTGACTAATCAAATGACTGTTGATTGCTCAGTTCTCATTTTTCACTGAGTAGACAGCAGTGGCTGTCAGTCACCTCAGAGTGCTGGGCTGTGTAGGGGGCAGGAGCACCTGGCTCAGGCTCTCAGTGATGCACTGACAAGCTGAGCCAGCTGCCATTCAAATATCTGAGTGGATCCCAACATTATTGTCGGGATTCCTGCAAAGCCTAGACCAGCTCTGTGATGTCAGCTAACAGTAGGCTGCAGCTCAATCAAGAGTGCAGAAATAAGTGTCCCAGAAGAGAAGTATGACCACAAAAGCTTTGGCCATACTTCTTCTTCAAAGAAACAGAGTAGACAGCAAACTGTTTCAAAGCAGTTGCAAAGCTTCTGGCAGGCTTCAATGGCCTTGAAGCTTAAAAGTGTTCTATAAAGCGGATCTCCACCCAAAAGGGGAAGTTCAGCTTTAAATGCTTTGTCAAGGATTGGCACCATTAGGGAGCGGGTACCCAAATTTGACAGGTACCCACTACCAATTCCGCTAGGATCGCCTAGTTGTCCTCCCCGTATTCTTCTAGGACACGTGACAGGTCTCAGAAGACTACAAGGTCATTCACAAAGCGCAGCACTTCTCACGCATGCACATTGGGCACACACTCAAGATGCCGGCGCCAGGGAGAGAAGATGGCCAGTGAAACCAGCGGTGGTCAGGACACCGCTGGAATGAGGGACAGGTAAGTGTCTGTATTTTAAATGTCAGCAGCTACAGTTTTTGTAGCTGCTGACTTTTATTTTATTTTTTTTTTCAGGTGGAACTTTAAGATGCCCAGCAACTTTTCAGAGTGAGATTGACAGGGACCTGAGAGGTGATAAGTCACCTTCTCACTGCCTGTTTTCACCCTCAAAGCGCCGAACCTCTGCATCGCAGTTGCAGGATGGTTGTGCCACGGCCCCATTAACTTAAATGGGTCGTGTTTGGCAGCACTACTGCCCACCAAACGAGACAGAGGGTTTTATTTTTTACACAGCTGCAAAGCTTTTACCTATAAAGCATCCTTCTGCTCCAGTTTGAGGAAGTTAAAGTAGAATTTCAGCCTCAACCTAACTGGTCCTAAAAATTTCCCCCCTCTCCTCGTACCTATGGTGACTAACCTGTGTAAGAAACAAAGGTGTATACTTACCTATTTCCAGCCTGCTCATGTGATTCCCTGTGTCAAGCAGTGGCAGCTGCAAGGGAAGGAGAGAGCGCTCAACAAGAAATGGGAATACCTAGGAGTGGTGATGTAACCCATAGGTTCCCATGTCCCAATAGTTGTTCCCACCTTTCCCTTGCAGCTGCCGCTGCCTGACACAGGTGAGCAGGGTTACGTGGCCAGAGCAGAGAGGGCTGAGATTAGTTATATATATATATATATATATATATATATATATATATATATATATATATAGTGGCAGTGCGGTATCCTGCCACGGTGGAATTCACGGTGGTGACCCAAGGATTCTCGACTATATAGGATTCTGAGGGGCTCCAGGCAGTTCTCATAATGCAGAGGAAACTGGTTTATCAGTTTCCTCTTTGGTTTGTAAAGCCTGCGGCGAGTATACACGCTGTGCGTGGCACACACAGGCAAAGGATTTTTTTAATACCAAAGCGGTTTTTAATTTTATTCAATGTGAGTGCATATATTAAGCATTTAAATAAAGGCAAGGCTTATAAGGATAAAGCACTATGTCCACATTTCTTTTTTGCTCCATGACACTGAGGAACATCTAAGAGGAGTGAGCATGGGATCCTGAGCAGCTGAAGGAGGGAGAGATCCCTGCAGGGATAATGAGTGTATAAGGAGAGAAGCATTGTGGAGCACATAGGAGGTATCCAACATCCATTCCATGCTGCAGCAAATTCTAGCAGGTTCCATGTATGTGAACAAAAAGTGTATTAAGCCTATCTGTTAGGCTTGTAAGGAGGTGAGCGCACATCTTTAATGATTTAAGGATTCACGAAAAGTCACAAATAGTGTGTTTGAATCACGTCATCACAAATCCCTTTTTTGGACTATTATTTGATTAATGGGACTGTTTTTTTATTTTATTTGATTCACATCACATTTAACTTGATATTCATTTATATATGGTATATTGTTTGTTTTTCATGGATATACAATTTGAAGTCACTAATTTATAAGTTTGTTAGAGATTGGGAGCGCAACATTTTTTAGTTAGACACGAGGTCACTGCCTTGGAGTCAGGTGGGCTTCACCTAGGAGAGGTGGAAGCCAGAGTAGCTGTGTGCTAGGGGCTAGCTGTGTGTTAAAGGCCCTTTTGGAAGGAGTCTGTAAGAGACAGATGTAAAGTGATATGCCTGAGAGAGCCAGAAGGCTGAAAATTGTTTGATGGTGGATACCCCTGCGTGGGAAGCATTTTTGTTATTGGACTTTCGTTTAAATAAAATTGGGCTAAAAGGCCTTTAAAAAGAAGAAGCGAGCTGTGCGCTTTTAAAAGGAAAAACTCTACCATTTTGATGCGAGTTCCCACAATATATATATATATATATATATATATATATATACATACATACAGTTTTTACACAGGTTAGGCAGCATAGGTGCTTTGGGGGCGAGGGGAGGGGACATTTTTAGGATTAGATAGGTTGAGACAGGAATTCCAGTTTTATTGACATTCCTTCATATTAATGACAAAACGGACATCAGAGATATTACATGGACTTTTACAGCTAGTAATAGTCCCATTACAACAGTTGTGATGCTCTTCCAACAATCCAGGGCTATTTACATTTTTCAGGCAGTGTAGTACGCAGGGGCGGACTGACCATTCGAGCACTCAGGCACTGCCCGAGGGCCCGGGGTCAGTAGGCGGCCCCATGAGGTGCCCCTGGTATCTTTTTTTTATAGGCTTTTTTGAGTGTGGGCAAGGACACAGGGGCCCCATGATCCCCTATTGTCCGGGGGCCCCTTGAGTTGTCAGTCTGACCCTGGTAGTGCATCTCATAGGAATAACGGACTACAAACTTTCAAAATTTGCACAAATAGACACAAAGACAAGGAAGCACGAGTGGGAATGGAGGGGGTAGAGATACTGCACTATTAGTAAAGACACTTGTTTTTTGTGATCTGAGTTTAGCATGCTGCTTAATGTCTTTTGCTGTCAGCGGTTAATTTAACATGCTCTATTGTATTACAAGGATTGGAACTGTTTCCAGGAAAGATTTATTTTAAAAAGATATTAATATTAGTGCTGTCATTGTAAATGAGCTGCCAGCTGGTTTCAGCTTTCAAGTGTCAAACTTGTGTTAAAGCTGCTCAAAGCCAGCTGAAGGATTTGCAAAGGCCAGGTATACACACCAATTCTGACATTAGCACAGCTCTACCACATCACACAGCCCTGCCTGGCAGGAAAAAAGATCTGATTTTGTTTTGCTACAGCTTACAGTTAGTAACACAGATCCCTTCCCAACATCATGATACAGTGAATGGAGAAGAAGCAGACTGAAAAGCTCATCACTCTGCTCTCTCATTCAAGCATCATATTCCATGCACTACAGTACAACCGATTAGTTCCTTGTACTACATGTTCCTCCAGCAGTCCAAGCTCTGCTGCACTGGAAATGTAAGAGGCTGATACCAATCCAAATCCATATAATTACCCTGCTTGCATTTATAAGAACTACATGTAATAATTAAATAGTAAACCGTAAAAAAAAATCTAAAAAAACCTTCTCCCTGCAAGGTAAGAGCATAATGTGCTAGTATGCATCACATACTAGCACATTATGAAAGACTTACCTCAAAATGAAGCCCGCCATCGGAGCGCTGTCACGGCTTCCATGTTCACCTGGTCTTCCTTCTAGGTTTGGAGGCAGTTTGACTAGCCAAACTAAATAAAAAGCGAGCGCTATCCGGAAATCTGAAAGCGGCTAGAACACCAAAAGGTAACCAAAAGAAAACCTTCAAATAAAGTACATAGACATATATATATATAGAGACCATATATAAGGTGCAGCGCTATAATAACATATAAATATATATAAAAAACACAAAAGTGCCAATATCAAATCACACTTCGATGAAGTTAAGTGAGATGAATGATAGTCCCAAAATGAATCAGAAGTGGGGATCCAAACGATCCTAGTAGGTGCGTGGGATAAGATTCTGTGCAGCACACGGTGAATCTGAGGTAAGAATTACGCACTCACCAGAAGTGCGTCAAAAAAACGCATGTAGGTTTTATCCTGTAATATCAGAAAACGATCATCCGTTGCCAAGATAGGGATAGAATCCTACACCTTCCAGATCGCCCCTTGGGTATGTGCTTCAAGTTTCATAAGTGCATCTCAGGCATATCACCATCCGGGGTCCCCTTTTAAGGCAGATTCTGCAAGTGGGGACTCTCATAGGAGAGAGCCCAATAAGGGACACCACATAGTGTAATACAGTATGAGCTAGGTTTATTAAAGATGCAGCATGAAAATAAATACAAATGGAGTAAAATGGAACACTGACCAGATACTGTAAAGGATGACCACCATGCGCAGAACGTCGGCGCCATTTTGCCGTGGATATCTGGTTTACAATGATATCCACCATAGGACGACGCCATTTTGTTGGCAGTTTTCAAATATATATCAATGCAAGTCAGTGTAAATCATACTCTGACCTACAGGAAGTGTCTCTTATAGGATGGCGCCATTTTATTGGTAGTACAGGTGCACGTAAACAGTATACATCAGTAAGGTCAGGTAATTTAGGAATAAAAAAACTCATATCTAAAAACGATAAAATTATCTTTAAAAAATACTTACAGCAAATATAGATGAACCCAAATAAAAATAAAGAGCTGGGGCAATCTATAAAGCATCGTAATAGGACTATCCTGAACAGTACATGGTCAGATACAGATAAAATACAGGTAATAACAGAGTTCAATTAATAGAGATATCTCATAATGTTATCAATATACAGGTAAAATATATGTATACACATATAAAAAAATATAACATAAATGTAAAGAGATCGTAAAATAAATAATCACTTATTAAAAAAATAAATAAATAAATAAAAAAAAAAAAAATTAAAATTCGATCAATCCCAAAAATCGACATACTCGACTACAGACAGTCCAACTCTTCCAGGATGGCACAACAATACGTGTCATTGATAGAAGGTTTGCTGTGTCTCCCAGCACAGTCTCAAGAGCATGAAGGAGATTACAGGAGACAGGCAGTTAGTCTAGGAGAGCTGGACAGGGCCATAGAAGGTCCTTAACCCATCAACAGGACCGGTATCTGCACCTTTGTGCAAGGAGGAACAGGATGAGCACTGCCAGAGTCCTACAAAATGTCCTCCAGCAGGCCACTGATGTGAATGTCCTGACCAATCAGAAACAGATTTCATGAGGGTGGCCTGAGGGTCCAACATCCTCTAGCGGGCTCTGTGCTCACTGCCCAGCACCATAGAGCTTGATTGGCATTTGCCATTGAACAGCAGAATTGACAGGTCCACCACTGTCACCCTGTGCTTTTCACAGATGAGAGCAGGTTCACCCTCAGCACATGTGACAGACGTGAAAGGGTCTGGAGAAGCCATGGAGAACGTTATGCTGCCTGTAACATCGGTTAGGACACCATCCGTCGTCTCATTAGGAGCATGCCCCGACATTGTCAGGCTTGCATGTGTGGGCCACTCAAACTACTGGGTACCTATTAGAGTTGCTGAAATGAAATTTTAGCAAAAGGTACTAGCCTGCTGCATCATTTTTTCACTTTGATATTCTGGGTGCCTTTGAATTCTGTCCTCGGTAGATTGATAATTTTTATTTTCATCAAACGATGGGGCATCCTTATGTTCCTAGCACATTACCCAGGCCATATCAGTATAGATATCTAGCATGAGATGTTTCCCCATTGAGATCTGATGTGTTTTCAAAGTGTTCCTTTATTTTTTTGAGCAATATATATATATAGGCTCTTGCAAACTGCCCTGAGTTAAAATGATAGTCACACAAGTGGAACTCACACTGTATTTGTTTTGTGTATATAACAGTGCATACAGTATATATGAATTCATATAACAGTGTTTAGAGTTCAAGGCATCTGGAGTAGCTATGCTCAAAATTACAGTGTTCCAAACTGCTAGCCATCTTTGAAAACAAAGTGATTGCGTGTGTGTTTCTCTGAGACGTAATTTTGGTGCACTATGACCTTCTCTACCTGGTAATTTAGCATTATGTTGATTACAAATAAAGACAGATTTTAGGTTACAAACACAGAAAATTCTATGTTATCTAGAAACATAGAATAAAATGACGCTATCATCTAAGTGCAGCTGTCCCTGAACTGCACAGCTCCTATAATAGAACTCTCCCATAGAAAATATCATAAACGTGTGTTATTTTATTTTTACCATTCATCACTACTTTATTAGGCAGCAAAATATGGTAATGTTGTGTTCTCCGTAAACTCCATTAACTTTTCCAATGAATATCCTTGTAAGCATTTTCATGATCAATTATTTGTTAAAGTAAGCCTTATTAATTTTGAGGAAAATAAACACGTATCCTTTTTTGTACGTCCCCTAAAACTCTTTTCTCCATTAGTTTGCAGGAGGTTCATTGGAGGACACAGGACCCTATTCTCCAATATGTTGGTATAGCTTCCACCTCTAAGAGGTTTGGACAATATGCTAATTAAAAGAGGCACAGCCTCATCTAGTATCACCTGCTTACAAACTCAGTAGCAGCAAAACAGTGAACAATAGGATAAAACTACGGTCCTCAACACAATTACCAAACTTTGACAACAGGTCAGCAACCTAAAGTACCCATCTTAAGCAAGGCAACTGTGGCCTTCAATTAGCTAATGGGTACAAATAATCTTTTTTTCTCCTCTTATTTATTGGAGTACTCTGTTGTTTGTGTTGGACATCCAAATCAGTTTTCAAAATTAAGGGGTGGGCAAGGACACCAATCAAAAAGGGAACTTATACTAGCAACCCGGTATAAGTGTTGTTTCATTCTGCTGCCTGCAGGACCTTATGTCAAAAGCTAGCATCTGCTTATGTAGCCACATTCACACTGTAATATCTAGTAAAGAGATGGATTAAGGACCAGGTAGCAGCCTTACAATCCTAGGTGTGAAAAGCATTGGTGCCAAAGAGGTGCCCCAGTAGAATGGCTGCTTTCAGAGTTTGAGAAAAAAACTCACAATTCCACCTGCATATGGTTACACTGGAAACACCTCTCTCTCAAGTCCTGGACTTTAATAAAATCTTATGGGTCCTGAGCCAGCAGGTCCAGTTGGTATAGAAGCTGGCATGGAGTCTTGAACCAAGTCGGAGTACCAAGATTTTCTTGCCCAATCCATAGAAATGAAATTACAGCAATGCCCACTTGCTTGATCCTTTGTGGAATATGAGATATGTGTTTTAATGGAGGACCTGCACATCAATAAGTATTGCACAGGAGCATCTACTAGCAGATGTTTTGATCTAGCAATGAATCTGTCTGACTTGGGATTATGATGCTATCGGTTCCACATCCAATGTTCTCTACCATTAACAGATCCTTTCCGGCAAATAGACCAATACCCAATTCTAAGCTTGGACAACTTAGGAAATCTGCTTGCCATGTTTTCCATTCCTGGAAAGTGGACCACCAAGAGGGCCAGGACCCAGCTCTGCACCTAGCAAAAGCTGTTTTACTTCTAGAGCTATATTGGCCCCTATTTCCAGTAGATTGGTTGGCAGTTTGAATTTCTCCCACATTTGTTGCCCTGCACCAATAGAGTGCCCAGAATGCTTTCATAGACTGAGAAGCTTGCATCAATGGTGAGGATCATCGTATGGAGAGGGAAAAAGAACCAGCCTAATATCCGCAAAAGCAACTGTAGCCAACACAACAGACATTGCCCAGATCTGCAGTCTAAGAAAAATTTCCCTGTCCAGAAAGAATGGACATCTAT